CCCCGCCCCCGGACGGAACTGAGCCCCTCGACCTGGGACTGCAGGGCCCCGGGACGCACAGCGGGTCCGGCGGGGTCGCCGGCCTCGGGCTCCGGAAGGGACGTTTCCCAGACGGTCATCCGGGGCCAGTGTGTCTGCCCCCCACGGAAGAGCGCTCGCTGGAGGACGCGAAACCCTGAAGACTGGAAATCGCGCTCCCGCGAAGAGGAGATCGTCGGCCCGAGAAGCCTTCCCCGGGGATGGGAGGGGGACGGCGGGGAAGCCGCAGGCCGGGGAAGGCCAGGGGGTCCGCGGACACTGACCCTCGGTGGCTCGGAGGGCACAGCGAACGGTCGCTGAGAGTCTGCGTGGCTGCACGCAGTAGGGAGAAGATGGATACATGAGCCCGGGCCGCAGTCCTGGGATGACCCTGTTGTCTGGCAGAGAGAGGGTTAAAGAAAATGCAGTACTGAGCAGAGGATGTGACCCTGCTCGTCGGCGAGAGCAGCCCGGAGCCGCGATGACTTAGCCGGATAGGGAAAGGGATGGGAGGAAGCGGCAGTGCAGACAGGCAGCAGCCCACTCCAAGGAGGAAAGCAGGAAACGAGGAAACTGTGTGTAATTAGGATTACCTTGCAAGACAGTTGTAGGATTTGAGGTTGGAGCCGTGGACAAGGGCCCAAAAAATTCCATTAAATGCCATGGTACACTTCTAACCTAACCCGGATTCATTCACTCAGCATATCCAGTGTGTCCTATTCTGAACCCTAAAATACAGCAGTGAGCAAAGCAAATATCCTTCCCCTCATGGAGTGTACAATGTAATTCTAATTTTTACTCACTGTAATAACCGTCAGAGCATGTAGAGATTAAATGTAGTGGTTCAGATCAGACTGGGGTGGGACTGACCCTGGACCTTGTCCAGCTATCACATGTGTGAAGTAACCTCTGAGCCTCAATTTTCCTCGCCTGTAAACTGTAGCTAATATTGTGCCTACTTCGTAGGGTTGTGGGGATTGAATGTCTCGATATGTATTCCTAGCATATAGTAAGCACCATACACCTGCTAGCTTTTATAATTATTTACATCAAATAGCAAAAGTTGTTATATATGTTTGTCAGGGAACAATTCCAGCATGTTTGGATGAGTGCATCGGTAGTGTGATCTTATGTCTGTTAATTCAGCAAACACTAGCAAGTAGTGGAAATGAAAAGATGAATAAGCCACAGCTTTGCCATCAAAGACTTCAGTCTGTTTTAGAGGAAACAGATGTAAGCAAATAACGACAAGATTTAGCTCAGAGACAGGAGGGACATCAACCTGTCTGTGGTAGGGGGAGGTGTTAAAGAAGTTTGAGTCTTCCAGACTAAAGTGCGTTGAAAGGGGTTCCAGGCATATGAACAACAAAGGACCAAGACATGAAGAACAGTTCAAGTTTAAGGAACTCAAGTTTAGTATGGCTATTCCGGTGACCTTGGAGGTGTGGATGGGACCCGTTACCTCAGAAGTTAAAATTGGGAGCAACTGAAGAGTTCTAAGCCACGAAGGATCTGTTTTCATTTTAGCATAGATTTGAGAACAGTTAAGACCTAGAAGCAGGAAAACCACTTAGACCCCTGAAATAGGAAAGAAATGAAAATGCATTAGGGTAATGGTTATAAGGACAAAGAGGAAGAAACAAGTTCAGAAATATGTAGGAAGTTAAATCAGCAAGATGAAGTTGGGGTGAAATGAGAAGGAAGAGTCACAAAAATCTCGGTTTGGGGCTGAGGAGGTCAAGGTTGTGCCACCAACTGAGATGGGGCATACAGGCTGTAGCTAAATTGTTGAAATGGATAACTACTTGGAACAGCTTGATTATTTGAAGTTATAGCACATATATTCCCCTGGACAGTATGATCTGATGCTACAAGATTACTAAAGTTAGTAAATGACAAAAATATAAAAAGAGGAAAAGTTAAAATTTTTTAAAGATTGACCAAGGAGTTGGGTATTTCAGTTTGTAACAATACCATAAAAGTAAAAGATAGCCCTCAAAAGATGTTACAGGAGTTATATCCCAAGCACTGGTCATTGTCCAAAGCTATAATTCTGATGTGGGCAGCATGGTAACCATTACAAGAGATCAGAAATGACAGTAGTTTTCCTTTGCAAGAGCCCTAGTAATTCCTTTACAGCTTACTCTGACATCTGTGACAAACACTGTTCCTAGATTTGAAATAGAGACTCAAAGATTTCTGACAAGAGGCAGAATATCTTCCCCATTCAACTCTCAAATGACAGAGACCCAGATTTGACTCCCACATATTCTAATGAAGAGGAAGAAAAGGGGATATACTGTCCATCAGCAGCTCCATGGGGGTACCTGCCAGAAGTGGTCTCCAAACAAGGCGAGAATCGTGGATGTGTCCCTCGCACCGTTGAATCCAAGCCATTCCAAATGCACACACTAGGGTTCCCTTTTGGGTAAATGGAAAAAGCTTTTGAATTTCGCCACAGGAATGCTACATGGAGAGCTAAATTATTGAAAAATTGCTTGGTAAGCAAAGTTGGAAGATCTTAACAGCTGGTGGCATCAGCTATAATGCTGTCACCCGTCTTCACTGTAAGGGAACTATGATGTTTTAGTCCTTGGCGAACAACTCCTCTCCTGAGTAAACGTCACTGATCCTCACAACACCTTAGCCAGATGCAGTTAATATGCTCCCTTCACAAGTGAGACAGCTGAGGCCCAGAGAGACTGAGAAGGGCCCAAAGGCACATAGCCAGGCAGTAAACCCAGGTGGGACAGTACTACCCGAGACTGAACACAAGCACTGCAGAATTCTTTCTTCCCTCGCCACATTTCACGAAGGAGGAAATCAGGGCCCGAAAAGTAGACTTACGCAAGATCATACAGCTGGAACAGGAGAGAACTGAAATTTGAAAACGCATGTCATAAGTACATGCATGATCTCACTCATCACAGGCAACTCTGAGTTGGATTCTGTTGTTCTCATTTTACAGATGAGGAAACTGAGGCTTAGAAAGTTTAAGAATCTGCCTAACAATGAAAAATATTTTTTAAAAAAAAAGTAGAATTCAGTGGAGTCTTCCAAGTCACGGCCTAAGAGGGACAAAAGCCTTGAGAGTGAAAAGTGTATCTGGAAAATGGTGAGCAAACCAGTCTGTTTCCAGCAATTCACATGGTAGAGTGGTGAAAAGTGAGGCTTAAAGAGTAGATTAGGGGGCCGGCCCCGTGGCCTAGCAGTTAAGTGCGTGCGCTCCGCTACTGGCGCCCGGGGTTCAGATCCCTGGCACGCACCGAGGCATGATTTGTCCGGCCATGCCAAGGCGGCATCCCACATACAGCAACTAAGAAGGATGTGCAACTATGATATACAACTATCTACTGGGGCTTTGGGGGAAAAAAGGAGGAGGATTGGCAATAGATGTTAGCTCAGGGCCGGTTTTCCTCAGCAAAAAGAGGAGGATTGGCATGGATGTTAGCTCAGGGCTGATCTTCCTCACACACAAAAAAAGTAGATTAGGGTCAACTTTGAAAGAGTTTGAAAAATAAAATAAATCTATGAGCAGTGGAGATCATGCAAAGACAATTATATACATAATTCAAATTCTAGTGTCAATATGTTCATGCAAATGTACGTTAACTGAATTTAGGTTCATCCAGCAGACATCATTGGTGCATGCATAATATCAGCATAGTTCTGAGGGACATAAAAAAGCAGATGACATTGGACCTACAGAAGAGTGATACCACAAAACTGGGTCCATACATGTAGGTGAAATCAAGTGCACACAAAAACCTGCATCATTTCATTCATTCAACAAAAATGGTGTTGAAGGCCTTCTCTAAGTCAGGCGCTAGGTGGTAAACACTGGCTCCTGGGCTTCTGTAAGATAAATCCCCTAGAAAAAGAAGAGTTAACATCTTGATAGATTTCCAGAAGATTTTGAAGAAAATGAAAGAAGGAATTGGATTTTTTTGATAAGCGCTCGGTGACTAGTAGAGGCCCCTAATTCCTGCATCTAATTCCTGATGACACGGCAGGAGGTGGAGGGACTCCTGGCAGTATCATCTTTCCCTCAGGACCTTTTCTTCCCTTTAAGTCTAACCCAACCATCTGTCCCCTTAATGCTACTCGTCCCTGCCTCCCTCAGCAAATTGTTTCCACATTTATCTCTTCCCTCCCCAACTTCTGCCTCTGCCTTGTCATTGGCTTCTGTCCCCTGTGTGTTCCCACATTGCAGGCATTGGCCCGTGTCCGTTTCCACGTCTTACCAGTTCCCCTTTGAAATGTTTCTCAGGGTGCTGGAGAGAGCACAGTGTGGTCGGACAAGACCTTGGGAACGTGGGAGCTGGAATCAGAATATGTCTGTGTTTGAACACCACTTACTAGCTGAGCAACCTCTCTGTGGCTCAATGATTGTCTTTGGTTTTTTTATCATCTTCAAAATGGGGATTACAATTAATAGATAACATTTATTGAATGTTTCTATATGCTGAACACGGTGCTAAACCATTTACATGTATTAGTTAATGCTCCTGAGATAGCTAGAATGCATGAGTTGTTTGTGAGCATTTCCAGAAAGAATGCCTGGACAGCTCTTTGGACAATGCCTGGCTCCCAACATAATGCTGCTACATAAAAATGATTATTTTTCTTTTCATTCCCTCCCTCACCAAAGAGCCTCCTCAAAGATCTCCTTGACTCCCCACCCAATTCATCTTATCACTCCTTTTAAATTTCCTTTTTTGTTGTTGTTGTTTTTTTGGTGAGGAAGATTGGCCCTGAGCTAACATCTGTTGCCAATTTTCCTCCTTTTGCTTGAGGAATATTGTTGCTGAGCTAACATCTGTGCCAGTCTTCCTCTATTTTGTATGTGGGACGCCACCGCAGCATGGATAGATGAACAGTGTGTAGGTCTGCACCCAGGATCTAAACCCACAAACCCCAGTCCAGCAAAGCGGAGCGTGTGAACTTAACCATACGTCACCTGGCCGGCCCCCTAAATTTCCTTAAGTAGAATTTAACATATTCTCTATTCAAGCCTTTCTCCCTTCTATCACCTAAACCCAAACCTCTGGCTTTGTTTTTAAAGCTGTGCAGGATATTCTGCTCTCTACCCTTCCCACCC